AGTTGTTTTCCGTGCAATAATTTTGAATTTTTAATCAGATGTACAAACGTTTAATTACGCTGATAGTCAAATGCATATTTTAAAAATTTCCGCATTATGGGATGATATTATTTATATATTATGTTTTTTCAAGTATTTATGCATTTAATATTTGATTTTATCAGTCCAACTTATTGTTTTCTAATTTTTTTTAAATTCATAACTTTTGCATCCTACACAATTGATTTACATTTATTAATTATACATTATTCAGAAAACATTTTTAAAAATGCTTTTACCAGTAATAATAGTTTATTTCGTATAAGACTATAATTATCAGAATTTTGAATTTACAGTAGGTACCTAGCTACCCATATAATTATAACTGTAAGCAGTATAAAACTTGCCTAATTCATTATTTAGAATTAATCCCAGCCTAGTGGTGATAAAAAATTATTATTATAATTATCCTTTTTGGTCTTATCTATGTTTCATTATACTTTAAAATATTGTCTTAAAAAACGTAATTTTATAAAAGTTACCTATAAGTATACGTAACGCCATACCGGTGCAACTATTATATATAAATAAAATGAGTGTACAAATTAAGTGATACATATAATTTATTTGCAATCAAAAACGTATCACGACTGATAATATTATTATAGTATTAAATAGATGCAATTTCAGTTAACGAATTTGTAAACAGCATAATATTCGGCAAAGTTTATAATATTATTATATTATGAGTAGATACTATAACGTTTAGTCACTAAATACATACGCGTTCTGGTATTAATGATGTTATTGTTGATGATCAAATACTATCTACTAAAATATCCGAGTATTATTGTCTATTTACTATTTATTTTTGATCCTTATTGCTTATTTAATAACGTTTAATGCTATTCGAGTGAGTAATAAATAATTGAAAATCCTCTTGTGCCATTATATAAGTCATGGAGTGATTGACGCGAACATGGCCGGTTTTACTCGTCGACATAATTGTTGATCTCCTCCAAAAATCAAAAAGATTCAACTACCTGTTCTCAAAGATATTAGTAGGTATTATCTACTTATCCGACTAATTGATGAATTAATATTACAATAATGTAATAATGTATTACAATGTTAACTATTAACAAAACATATTCCATTGCAGTCGTACCTAAACCGTTAATTATGGCGACCAAAAGGCCGAAAACTATGTCAATTATTGTCATCGTATGATTAAATATTTACTTTCTCCACCCCCAACGTACCCACAAAATATCGTTTCATTATACTCGGAAGGGGTATGATTTTGGGGTAAATGAATGCACTCAAACGTGATTTTCCGAAAAACGTTTAATAACGGCCTCGGGATTTTAATATTAAGAATTTTGCCATGCTGAACTCAACTATTTAATACTCGTTTACTCATATTAATATCATATGCGGCAATATGACATTTTAATACTATAGTGGGTCATCTGAAGTTTAAGCGTTGGAGACATATTGTGGTGATGGCCGGGGGTGAGGGTTGTACGAGAGTCTTGCGTAATCCCCTTTGCTTTTAAATAACAATATAATAATGAACAGTTATTATATCATTAAAAAAGAATACAATGATAAACATAATAATAACTATATACCTTCCTACCGTCTAAAATTAAGCAATACAAGTTAAATATGCCTTATGTACTAATAACTTAATTATCAGTTATCAATATATTAAAAGTTATGATTTTTTTCATCTTCATTGACTTTCAAAATGTAAATTATAATTATGTAATAAAATTGCTTTTTCAAGACCCAACTAATAACTGTAGGTGTATGGGAGACAAAGGATAGGATCAACTTGTATACGGACAGCCACAAAATGGAAACCAAATAAAATTCGACCAAGGGGAAGGCTAAGACAACGGTGACCTGGAATTATGAGAAGTGGAATGGAGAAGGGGTGGAAATACCCGGAGAAACGTAGAGAAAGATTGAAAAGTGGCAGTTGGCCTAGATGGCCTTGAATAAACCAAAAAGTATTAGGAAAACTTAGGTGAAAATAAATCCAAATACCTAATTTATTTAATTTTTTTTTTCAACCATAATATTTTAACACTCTACATTATAGGGTATTTTATTATAAGATTAGGCATATTTATTTCATACTTAGACACCGAGACAAATTTCGAATATAATTATTTGGACAAAGTCTCTGTTAACTTTTATATTTTATTTTAATTTAATATTTAAACTGAAATTATGGTACTCAAAGTAAACTATAACCAGTATACAATTGAATCCATTATACGCGTTACATAATTTGTTTATATAACATTGATACAGGTATATTATTTTGCTAAAAATAAAATTAGGTACATTTACCAGTGACCCTACTCCCTAGAGATGTAAATAATTTATTACCGCTCAGTTAGCATTTATAATATAGAGTTATGGGTATTTGTGTTGATACTTCAAATTACTATGTTTAATATTATAGTTATTAAAACCTTTTGAGAAAAATAAAATATTATACTTTAATTTTAAATCGTAAGAAATATATAATATTAAATAGGTATGTATAATGATAACAAAAACTAAAAGAAATTAAAAACTCAAGGATAAAGTAATTGTTTATTAAAATAAAACAAAAACATATTTGTAATTATTTTAATAACTTTTATTCAATTTAAATTTGTTTTTCCCGGAGATGAATAAAAAAAAAACAATAATATTATCTTATGAATAAATAAAAAGTGATTATTATTTTCTTTATTATTTTTATTATCATCACGAAAAGGAGGTTTGGTTTGACCTGGTGTATTTTTTAATACCAACTATACTTTAGTAAAACAGAATACACAGTCTTTTTCAGAAATAATTCTCATCAAAATGAATAACAAATATATAGGGACGTATAATCAAATACCATTCTCCCTATTAATTGAAGACAACAAAGTAAACATAAGGAGAGATGAGTGTTTAACCAAAGTTATAATACATGCATCTAGAGTATCATTCTCAAGGTAAATTTGATTTTCTCTTATGTAATCGGTGAATTCAGTTGCTCTTAAACCATAAAATTAAACGAACAAACACTAATGGCACATAGTTTTTGTTTACATTGATTGCATAACAATAGATAGGTAGACTATAATATTTTAATACATACATGTATTTGCTGTTTATTTTAAGTGCTTTATTCGCTGTTATTTACATTTCAAGGAATAGTAATATATTATACGTTATTTTAAAAACCAGATGTAATGGTTTTGTATTTTGTTCGCTCGAAATACCTATAGGGGTTTTCGGAGGAAAATCAAGTACACTCTAACGGTCTATTCGAATTTCCTCCAAGAGCAGACCTAGATTATTAATTAATATATCAATAGTTGTACATTAAGTACCTTAGACTATTATATCGATTTCCGTAATATTAAAAAATTTTCGTTTGTCTGTTTTATTTATTAAAATATTAATTATTAGTTTTGATTCCAATCGACATTGACTTATTAATTTACTGATTTTTCCTATGACGTAAGGCCAGACTTCCATCTTTTTGGATTAACTCTTTTGCATACCTTCATAATTGTTTTTTGTTTAAAAAAAAATATATATATATATACATGTGTATTCTGATTTCAACCAAAAATCGATTAATTAATAATTTTATTTGTCGGAGGCGATTCGAGTACAAGAGTGTCACTACCTAAAATGGGAAGGAATTCAAGAGAATGATATATTTGAAATCAGAAGGCAATTATTCGCCTAAACTTTTAAAAATAAAATGGATGGTAGGCAATATGAGGGCCATGTCCGTAAATTCGTTTGCGTAATCTGTATGTTGTTGTTAATTTTCAAAGTTTTTGTTTAGTTATGTAATATTTTTGAGAACTCAGTTATCAAAAACACAAATAAAAAATGTTGCAAATCAGATTAAATTCGGCTTCATACACAAATGTAGTTGTTCGATGAAAGTATATTATTTTGAAGAATGATATTCAACGGTTCGCGGAAATAACTTTTTTTATCATATTATCCATAATATTATGCAACAATAAATAGGTACAGAGGTAATGGGATCTTACAAAAGGTCAAAAATGTATATTACAATGTAAATGTGTTTAAAATAATATATTTACTATATTATTGTATAGAATTTTTCATTTTCTAAAATATTCATTAAAATTGCCTAACTAAAACCCCTAACAAATTCGTATAACGCCCTTCAATGACAATACGACAGAATAATATTTTAAGAGGAAGTTAATAGTTATAGTCGTCACGAATCATGATGTACGGACATAACGGGCCATGAAAAGCTTATCCATTGTCATATTGTATATTATATTATTAAACCTTCATTAGAGGATTTCATTTTACAGTACTTACAATTACAGATATGTTTAAATGATGAAATTTAATTTACAATATAATGTTAACGTTTGAAAAGTTTATTGATTAAAACGACAGCGGTATAGTGTAGTTGTATCTGATTTAAATTACAACGCAACTAAAATTTTATACTACATTAACATTTTTAGTTATTCTATTAAATATTTAATGACTTGTTTGCCAATGTTCAATGGACTCTAAGGGGTCATTCCAGTTTTCATTACGTTACGTAATTGGATAGTAATAATAATAATAATACCCATCCAATTATTTAAATGTTTTTTAATTTTAATTTTATACCCGTTTCTATAAAATAAATAAATATAATAATTATATTACATCTGTCAGACATTAAAATTTTGATTATTGTTATTTTTGTTCATAACAACATTAGCATTATCGGTTTTCTAGTAAAATAAAAATATTTTAACTAACTATATCGATGACCTCGATTTCGAGGAGCAAACGTTTATGCAACACAATGTACACACATGTAGAATGTGAACCAGGACGTAACCATTGCTGAAATAATAGACTTCAACAATAATGGTATCGGAATATTATTATTGTGGCCTACTGTCAATTAATACGGCGAATGAAAAGATATACAAAATGTTTTTAATGTCTCAAAAAATAAAAAAATAAAATAAAATTACACTGTTTATCTAAATATATCATAATATTATTTACAAATTTAATATCTAATATTATTATTATTATATGTGGAGGAACAGCGCATCGGTTGTACCTATACAGTTTCAAAGTAGGAATATAAAAATAAAAATAAAATTGAAACCGATTTAAGTAATAATACCTATATTACCATTATATTATTATGATTTTAAGTTTAAAAACCGTTCGGCATTGCGATGGTATAGAGTTTTCTGACGTAAAAAAAAATGAAAAAGATGTTTAAAATAAAAAATATTAAAAAATTGAATTAGGAAACCACTAAAGGCGTTCAGCTGACAGATAGGTTGCGCAGCAGCAACGAAGTGGCGACGGTGGCTGCGGTCACGTACACTGCAGTGGAGGTGGCGACCGTGTTACCACGGTTAGGGGCCGTGACATCACTGGACGGTGGTGATTGGGCTGTAGGTGACTGTGGCGGCTGGACCGCGGTCACGTTGGCACCCTCGCAGACAATCTCCCTGACCAGCAGGTCCCTGTAACCGGCAAGCGTGATGTTGGCCGGCTGTCGGCAGTAGTTGTCAGCCAGCAAACGGGCGAACCGGCTGTCGACGTCCGGCTGCAGCAGGCCTGGGAACACCTGGTTGATCTTGAGCACGCTAATGTGTCGCGGGTCACAGTCGCATGTGAACCGATTGTCGGACGCCCGGACAGCGGGCCCCAGGCCGAAAAGGAACGGGCCCAGATCCACGTTATCCACGTCGTTGCCGACGAACTCGGCGGGCCGCTCGGACCGGAGAAGCTGCAAGTCAGCCGGAAGTGTGCGGAACGCGTTTCCGTCCACGTGTACAGCTGCATCACCGTCCCACCGGACCGCGGACACGCTGTCACCAGTTATCGCTCCAAGACGGTTGCCGGACAGCCGGATGCCACCACGCGCGTCGTCCACTACCACAGCGCCAGACGCTAAATCATCCAGAGTGCTGTTCAGGATCCTGACGGCGCCAGACCGTACCGTCACGCCACCTGACTGCACCAATTTGATCTGTGAACAAAACAATATTTTACAACGTTTGTTCAGTGGGCGACAGGTTTTAGTATTGGTCGTCGTTGACGTGTTTCATGTTTTCAGTAGAACTATTGAGGTTTGACTAAACAACGTTTAACATCTTTAACCCGTTTAAAACTAATTTGATAAATAATTTATTACTTAACTACGTTATGCTACAACTATTGGAGAATATATTTGACAAGATTCGTTGAGGGCGAGGAGGTTGTTGAAGTAAATTGGTTCATTATGTTTTAAATTTCAAATATTGATGTAGATACCTGGTGCCTATTTTTTAAAATTCTTTATAATGACATTATTAGCAATTTCAATAATTTTGTGTTATGTGTTAAAATGTTCAAAAAAAAAATGTTTTAAAATTTGGTAATAATATTATGTTTTCCTCGCGCTTTAATTTGTTCAAAAATATAATAAATTAGTACATACTACATATACCTATTTATATTATAATTTACACATTTTTAGTTCTGCTTATTTTCTAATATATTCTCACAATATTTTATTTAAAACGTATGTTTATGTGATATTGTGATATGTAATATGAATATTGTGTTTAATACAATATTTATCATTTATTTACAATAACTTATGGGTACCTAGTCCAAAATATTTTTATCTTTTTATACATATTTTATTTAATTATGTGTGTTGTATGTATGTGGTTAGTACTTTTTTGTTTAAATAATATTTAATTTATTCTCTGTTACACTTACCACTCTTGAATTACTACATATAATAGTGTGCTAGAAAGTTTGATTTAATTTTTTTATGATGTATTCCAAACGTAATTTTAATTTAAAAAGTTCATTAATGGTATTTTATAAACTCAGGTGAAGGGATGTTTATTATTCGTAAACCCTCTTAATTTAAATTTCGTTTTATAATGAACTTCATAAAGAGATCAAGATTAAAATAACTACACTTAATTAATGAATTACCAAATAGCATTTTAACCTTATTCAAGCTTGAGATCGTGACTTATTATTTGTTTACAGTATACTAACATATTTAAAGATAAAGGGCATTGATGAACATTTTTATTATTACTTATCAAACCAGCTTAATTGATGCGGTTGTTACTAATAACTGTAATAAGTATAATACCACATATTTATTGATGAAATGTGACATGTTTCTTAATGAAACGTAGACACACAATTTTGTATAGTTATACACCACAGCAAAATATTGAGTTACTTTAAAAGTGATTACAAGTAAGTTGTTTAAAGGAAATTTATATAGTTTTCCGAAAATTAAAAATCAAAATCAGAAACTACTTATCCCCATCAGATTATTTTTATTAAATATACAATATGAAATGGATTTAATTAGTTTTTTGTACTACCTCCAACTAGACTTTAATAAAAATAGATATAATATAGGTACGTATTATTATAGGGGAATTTGTATCATTTTATATTTGTTACTACGACTACGAAATTTGTTTTTCGCTTTTGCGATTCTTAACAGAGATAGGCAACATGAGTTTTAAACGAATATACCTTTGTATTATTATTAATACAAATGTTCTAAAAAGTATAATGTTGTTATCGCGTGACATAGATATAACGATAGATATACTTCGTAACATTATTACTGATAACTCATTTCACTCTTCCGCAGAAAGTTTATTTCCATTATTGTTTGTATGGAGTTTGAAAACGTAATACTTCTCAACTTTATCTAAACGAGTGTAAGGGTGAATTTATTATAAAGAAAATTATCAAATAAGATAATTTCATTCCGTAAGACTAAATGATTTTAGCCATTTCGAAAACTCCTTGAAGCAAAATGTTATACGATCGTGTCTTATTCATATTGTTCTTACTAACAATTTAACTTTATTGGCTCAAAGAAAATCACTTTTACGTTTTAATGTAAAACATTTTCTACGTCTAAACGCATCATTTAAAATAAGTGAAATTCCATTAGGCAAATTGAAAACCCCGAAGGATTTCAAATTATTTTAGAAAACGAGATGAAAGTATTTATGATGCTTAAAAATGTTAACAACGTTACAATCATCATAGTTTGGTCAATTTTTTTTTGAGAACGACTTACAAATTACAATTTATATAATATACTTCATAAAATATGTAGATACTTTAATTTTTAAATGGAAATTTGGCACGAGAATCTATATTATACGAAATTATAACTGCATGCGTTACAAATAGTATTATACCTAATATGTTTCATAAGTAAATAAATTAGTTGGCATACATACTAAAACAGTTTAAAATACAAAATACAAAATTATTCACATGCGTTGTGATTAAAATAATAATTGTTGTAATATTATAATAATAGTAACCCAATACTAAGAGGCACCTTTTTGAAATAAATTAATAAATACCTATCGGCTATTATAAAATATCATTCTTAGTTTCTATTATTGTATATTATTAATGTCTAATAACATCAGGTTATAAAATGAAATGTTTCTAAAATAGTATTTTATTACGATAGGAGTTTCATTATACTATGTTGTATTATATTACACATTCCGACTGCGCATCTTATTGCTTGTATTTTTCTTTTACTCAAAAAAACATCAGGCGGATGAATGATTTTCCGGTGATTACATTAGGCCTGCACAATGAATGTTTCATTCTTTTTAAATTTATTATTTTATAGGAGAATCAGTTTTCAAAACTTTTTAACAACACGAAGTTTATGAATACAAAATGTCTGGAATAATATAGATAAATACATTTTTGGAGGTATCTATAATTATTCTATATAAAATTGCACTCTAAGGGTGGCTAGAACATTTATTGATTTAAAAATAAGATATTGTCCTAAAAAAATGTGTTTTCCAATCGTGTACAATGGTCAATAAGTACATTATTGTTATGGCATGTTGGCATAATATTATTATGTTATTACAATGAAACAACAGAACAATAAAACTCACGAAGATAGGTCATAATTTGTGTCTTAAACGTTTGCGTATATGATTCTTGTAATTTAAAAAAAAATTTGATTTAAAATAATATTTTGAAAAAGTACTTTAAAACAATTGGTGTTGCATATAGCGCCACACAATTAATGTTGATCCGATCGAATAAAATAACATAAAACGTAAAACAGCTCAATCGGGTTTTAATCGGTACGCTTACAAGAATATTAATTTGCTCGACCAATCGGATAATAATTGCATTTCAAATTTTCAACCATCGCGAGATTAAATGCTACGATCATTCGACTAAATGTCTGTTCTTATTGTTACTATTTTCTGTAATTTAGGCAATTACTTTTTTTCTGAAGTTTATTTTTCCTTTATCTTCGACGAAAATCAATGAATCCATACACGAATCGGATATTCTCACGTTTTGCCCATAAACGTTAGAAATTTTACATTCACGACGTGTTATTTGAATTCATTCAATACCATAGTTTAATTATTATACAACTAAATTATGTATTCCGAAAGGTATTTTGTATGTATACCTAACCCACCCATGTATATACCCCGCATCGTTATGGGTAGGTACATTATACGTCTACACAATATGTCATACAATAATATAAATACACTCGCTACGACAATGTCTAGAACGCATAACGACATGTAAAATGATATGTTGATTATTAATCACGAATCGTGACAATAGTGATGCATACTGAATACCAACTGAATATTATTTTATTTAAATGTAACATTATTTATTAACTGCGAGACGGCAAAAAACTTAAATTTTAATTTTATATGAAACACTTACAAATGGTTTTTAATCGGTTTGTAGTTTAAAACAATATATTATATATGTATTACCCAGAAAGACTAGTCTTACTAAACTTAACTGAACGTAAGAATCTGAATACGTTATATTACTCTAGTTTACAAATTGCGTTCCAAAATAAACAAACTTGTTTGAAGCATTTAAGTAATTGGCTTAGAATTTGATACAGTGAATAGGAATTATTTTTGCATCATACATTATTATTAAAAAGCAGAGTAGTATAATATTAATAGTACATTATTTTCGAGTATGATACACTATACACAACGGTTATTCAAAGCACCGTTCTAAAGGGAAAAAAGAAGACGCAGTGTTTGAAACCATATTTAAATAAGTATACAAAGTAAGTTACACGAACCGAGACCTTATCCAGAATATTAAAAGGTTTTTATTCAACTAAATATATCTCGTATACAGACGTAAAAATGAAATTAAACAATACACGTCGTAGTAATTTATAGGAAAGTATTAAAAGTTTGTTTAGGGAGTTTATTTCCTTTGGCATGCTATTGAATTCAACAAAAAAAGAAAGTAAAAAATAAAATAAAATCTGCCGTTTACTTCGGTAGTAATAAAATAATATTCTTTCATCTTTATAAGTTCCTTGGTAGACCTCCATGCATGTATAATGCATTCGAGCCCTAAAAGACCCACTGACGCAGAAATAAGCGCGTGCTCTCTCATTTCACGATGCACATACCTAGTATAATGATAATACGTAAGTTGTAATAAGTTCTTTTCTTCAAATTTTGAACGATGATCTTTTTTTTTAAATTTTTCATTCCTGGATAATATTTATATAACACGTAAATAAAACCTAACCGGATTCCAATCGAACGCCGTTTCGTTTTGGTTTTTTATCTAAATACTACAAATCGCAAAGATTCGTCTAACTTATAATCAAGTTCCAATCGATTGGTACGTTTTGAGTGAATATATAGATAATTATATCGATATCACTATCATCATCGCTAGGTATATCACTATATCGCTTGAATCCTTATACTGTCATAATTTTTACTTTTATTATACACAAGATTGTCATTATATTATTTTCATCATTATTTTATACCTATAGTGGCTACCATGGTACCGTTTGGAAAGAATAACACAGACCATTGACATTTCGAAAACAATAGTGGTGTATTTGTGTAACATCGAACGTCACGCGCTTAAATCGTTGGTAATTAAAACAATACATGCAAAACCTATCGTTTTATCGTGCCCTAT